TGAAAATGAGCTAAAAAGTTGGAATTCACAGTTTTCAGACTAGAACCTCAAAAGGGACTTTAAAAATCAGCAACACTTAACATCCCTGTGTTCTAATTCATCGCTGTTAAGAGTCCTCTTTGAAGCCCAGTAGACCTTCCACAGTCACATTCCGGAGATGTCCCTCCCCCCTCCTCCCCCTCCCCACCCCCATGCTCTGCCTAGAAAAATCCTTCTTATCCTTCAAGGCCCAGCTCAAATGTCACCTCCTTTATGAAGTCGCTTCTCAGACCCACAGGCAGAATCCATTGATCCTCCTGTGTGCCCTCGCTGCACTTTCTATTAGCACTTACCACATTGTTTTAGTTAGTTGCCTAAGCAAGGTCCTTGAGGTCAGAGACCTGTCTTATTCATAAATCCTTTTATCCCCATATCCTCAGCCTAGCACATACCGTATTTCATCAAATCTAAAACCTCATCAATTGTAAGATACACCATGATTTTATGAACTACTAAGAAAGAAAAACCACTGACAATTATACTATGACATGCCATTGATTGGACAATGCGTCTTGAACTCTGGGATGTCAAAATGTTTATTAAAAAAAAAAGTGTGCCTCAGGAATGATGAACTATGGTAATAAGTGCCTACCAAATGTTTACAGAACTCGATTGTGAACCCAAGGTGGAGAAGATATTCCTAGAACACTGTGCTTTTTCCACCAGAGGTGATTTTAATAGGTAAAACATTGGGAGTTGGTGATGATGGCATAGGTCTCTTGGTTTATGATTGGCTATTAACTGAAAGGTTGGCGGTTCGAACCCATCCAGCAGCGCCACAGAAGAAAGGCCTGGCAATCTGCTTCTGTAAAAGATTACAGCCAAGAAAACTCTAGGGAGTAGTTCTACTCCATAACATATGGGGTCACCATGAGTTGGAATCAACTTGACAGTAACGGGTTATTTGTGGGGATTTTTGGTGAATGGTATGCAGATGCATTGCTGACTTCAAATATTCTACCTCCTAACGGTATTAGTTATAGAGTCTCTTTGAGTCAGAACTGACTCGAAGGTCCCTAACTACAACAACATATTAGTTAAAGGGATGAGTGGCCTGATGTGCCTTTCCCTTTAAAAGACACTTCCACACCCCCATTTAATATATTAGACAGTGATAATATATTCTGTTAAAAATTGGGTGACATCTCGCCCTGACAGGGAACACAACAGAGACTCCCTGACGGAGCAGGAGAAAAGTGGGGTGCAGAACTCAAATTCTAGTAAAAAGACCAGACTTAATGGCTTGATTGAGACTGGAGGGATCCTGGAAGACATGGCCCCCAGACTCTCTGTTAGCCCAAAACTAAAACCATTTCCGAGGCCAACTCTTTTCAAGATTAGACTGGACTATGGGACATAAAATGATACTCATGAAGAGTGTGCTTCTTAGCTCAATTAGATGCATGAGACTAAATGGGCAGTTTCTGTCAGGAGGTGAGATGAGAAGGCAGAGAGGGTCAGGAGCTGGTTGAATGGACACGGGAAATCCGGGGTGGAAAGAAGGAGTGTGCTGTCACAGTATAGGGAGAGCAAGTAGGATCACATAACAGTGTATGTATAAATTTTTGTATGAGAGACTAACTTGAAATGTAAACTTTCACTTAAACTACAACAATAAACAAAAAAAATTGGGTGACATCTAATGTAACAAGTGAGAGTGATTGCAGAGACAATGGAAGAGAGTATTTGTATCTGCCTTGATTCTGGCTCTATAAGCCAGTTCAACCCACTTCTGTTCCCATCTGCCCACGAAGAGGAACAGTAGTTGTCCGGCGTCCTCCCAGCTTATTCCAGCCTTTTTATTCTAATGTGATTCCTTCTCAGCTCCAAACTGTTGGCTCTATGAACTTGGCTTCCATTTCTCCCTTGGGTCTTTGGAGTTGGTATTTTTATATGGTCCCTGGCTGACGTCTGGATCTAGCTTTCCATAGGGCCTTTGGCTTGGCAAGCCTTGCTGGGCTCAGCAACCCAGGCTGTCTCAAGAATCTGTGTTCCACACAAAAAGTAACAATCTTTGTTGGTTACAAGGGATGGGAGGGGTCGGGGGTAAATACAAAATAAACAATAGATAAGTGATATCTTTGGTGAAGGGTGAGACAGTACACAATACTGGGGAAGCCAGTACAACTTGTACAAGGAAAGGTCATGGAAGCTCCA